TGTGTCATGGCTCCTCTTATTTCTTTTCCTACGATTTACATTAATTCATTTAATTATTATTTCTGAAATTTCAAGTTTATACACAGTTTCTTTTGTTCCACTTATTTATCTAAGATATGTTATTCATTCTTATCTATCTATCTATCTATATAAGGATTTTTACAGCTGTCGCCGCCTTCCTTCTTTCAGCCAACGTCTCCAGTCCTCTCTGTTCTGTCATTCTCCATCTCTAAGGTCTCGTTTTTCCATGGCCTCGTCCACTTCATCCCTCCATGATCTTCGGGGTCTACCTCTTTTTCTCCTTCCTATTGGGCTCCAATCCGAAATCCTTGCTATCCACCTTGTATGATCTGTTCATTCTTATCTATAGATGTGCTTATTCCCTATCAATTATCTATCAATATTTGAAGTCTTTTTTTATTTGTTTTAGTCATTGTAATGATTCGCATCCGTACACAAAAATAGGTCTAAAGCTTGTATTATGCTCTAAACTCCTTCAGTGGTAGTATTACCAACCGCGATTATTGTTCTCAGATATTTAATGTCTTCCATACTTTCGAAATTGAAATTGTTGACTTTAACGTTGTATCTAGATTTACTGACGGTCTCTTATGTTTATGCGCTGGTATTTGGTTTTCACTTCGTTGATTTTACTTGAAACTTTTTTCGTGCTCTCTGGACTTTGTTCAGTATGTCGTTTACATATTTATAGATGTAATCATCAGCATAACTAGGAGCTGCTTTGTACCTTGAGAGAATTTCTCTCTCAAGGTTTTTGTTTCCCGTATCAATATTACAACAATTTTGCTGGATGCCGACATAGGAAACCCGTTGGTATGTACATACTGTTTCGATATCTTTTTGTCTCGTTATAAAGTGAATATTAGTTTATTAGGAAATATGATATTGTCTAATGATAGTTAAGTTGTTTTGCTTTGCTTTCTCAGACTGCTACCATCGTGCCTTCTGGTATTTGATATTTCAACCGTCAAGCAACAATTCCTATATGCATTAACTTAATGCTGATATCCTGCTTCCCCAATCCAGTTAGCAGTCCCGAAACCAATAAAATTGCTACATTCAAGTTTTCTATTAAGCTGCCCAGAACTATAGGTACGCCTTATTATCTTACTGATGTTAGTGCTGCCCCTTATAAGTGAATAAAATATGAAAGGAAGGTTTTGGTAATTTAATAAGATCCTTGTGTTACAATATAATGTCTCCGAGAAAGTAAAGTAATATCAAAACGGTATTCGGATTTAATCCATAGCTAAAATATTAGAATGCTATAAAATAATGCTATATATTAGCATTAATAAGTTTATAATGGATACTAAAGTTTGAAAATAATTAGAGTAAGTAATTTAAATTATCAAAGTGCTTATTAAACATAAAATAAAATAAAATTATATTAACAATTTATATTATAATATATTTAAAAACAGTAGCCAAATATTCTTGGAATTCCTCGATGACTAACCTGGTGGATATTTAAATAAATTTTAAGTTCTAAAATGTACCTGCTCTAAAATTTGAAAATCTACGACTAATACAACTACTGGCAACATCGCAGGAGCTTAGTTGTGTACGCTAAAAGCTGTATACGGATCCCAAAAATGTTTTATCCAGTTACGGAGTCCACTTGATCCGACGTGTTGGTCGGAGTCTACATAAAGCGCTACTCAGATAATAATATACACGGCGTATATTCTCCTGGAGTTAGTATAATACCGTTTTAGTACGGAGCCCACATTAACCGCTAGAAGTATATATATATATATATATATATATATATATATATAATATAGATTGAACGAATTTAAAACGGATCATACAATTTTAATGTATGTCTGTTTGAACTGCATTTGAAATAGTGGACCAATATAAAACTTGGACAAAAATAAATCCATACCTGGGTTTAGACATTGTATAAAATATCGTTCAACTATCTGTCTCGCAACAATGTTGTATGCGTAACAATGTTGCCAATCGCCGTGTAATAATCCGATTTGCGGATCTTTTTGAGAGTTATATCTTCTTCGTATCTTTAAATAAATCGGATATTTGCCTATATTTTTCATTGTATTTACCAATCTACTACAACAGACCAATAACAAAAATAAACTTAATGGTTTGTAGTTATTTTCTTTTTTTCTTGTAAATATTTTATGGATAACACCTTATTTGAGAAACATCTAAAGGAATGAGGTTGACAACACCGCTCAAAGAAGGGTTTGTCTAAAGAAGCGATAACTGGTTTGACAGCATAATAAAATCGTAGATTTATGTGTAGCTTTCAATTTTTATGATTTCAGAATCCAGCAGCCCGCTGAAGTATTGGATTTTTATAATATAATTATTTGACAACCTTTTGTTGGCCAACCACCTACAGCAAAATTGAGCCGAATGGCTACTACCGTTATGGGCCTACAGAAGGATATTAAGGATAAGTTGGGTAGATAGAGTCACGAATGTCGAGGTGTTGAGAAGAATGGGAAAAGATAAAGAGGTCTTAAATACAGTTAAAGTTAGAAAACTGCAATATCTAGGACATGTTATGAGGGGCGAGCATTATAACTTGTTGCAATTAATAATGCAAGGAAGAATACAGGGTAGAAGGAGTCACGGAAGAAGACGCATCTCCTGGTTGAATAATTTGAGAGCTTGGTTTAACTGCACTTCTGCTGACATCTTTAGAGCAGCTACGTCGAAAGTGCGAATTGCCATGATGGTTGCCAACCTTCTTAGAGTAGATGGCACGTGAAGAAGAAGAACCTAAAATAAACAAAATGATAGGTACCTAGTTTCTGACAATTGGTTAGGAACTACTGAAGCAGTTGCATACTACTTTATTTACTACTTGCTTTTTCGAAAGTATTAACCATGATTTAATTTGACTGGGTTATAATCTGCGGTAGTATAGGAATGAACGGCCGCGCATTTTTTATATTTAAAGTTAAGTTTAAGCTTTTCTTACCTCATTAATTTCATCATAATTCCACGGCTTTTTGGCGTCTTTATTCACTTGATAATATTGGTTTACTTTTTCATAAAATACACCCTTGTGGATATCCATATTTATATAATAATAAACAGTTGCAACGAGATATGTGATAAAATCTTAATTCGACGACTGAATTGACTAAACATAGAACCGTCAGAAGCTGTAACGTTCCAACATTCGGCCGGTATCACCGTTTGCCGTATGTTTTCCTGAAATGGCGTATAATTTCAGTCAAACAAAATATTAATGAAAATAATACAGCATTTGCTAGCAATACGTGTAACTAGGCTTTTCACGGAATGACGTGTTACACCTATTGCCTGCGATTATATATATATATATATATATATATATATATATATATATATATATATATATATATATATATATATATATACAAGAAATACTGGATATTAGTGACTGTCGATATAAACAAACAAGATAGTTTATTAGGGTTGCAGTCAGAATATTGGCCGGGATGTTAAAAAAACACTCTTGTGACTTTTTGTCGAGCTTTCGGAATGGTTTTATTCCTTTTTCAAGACACTGTAAAAGACAATTATGTAAATATTTAAAAATATCACAATTCTTCAGTGTAACTTACTAGGCGTTGAGATTATTTTTGTAAGCATTGACACTCAACATTTATACCACACATTAAAATATACAATTATGGGCATAGTACATCATAAAATTTTTAAAATTTGTTGTAAAAATAGTAAAACTTGATAGATGTCATGTTTTACTGGTGTATATTAACTCATACAGAGAATGGAAAGAAAAAACAGTGTAATTAATATGTAATTAGGTGTAATTGATGTTATCTTTCTTTACAAGAAATACTAGAGGCCCTTTTTAGGTGACTATACTTTTTAAACCTGTCTTAATGGTATGCAACATATTATACAGAGGTGTAATTTTTGTACAGGTAAATATTTCTTTTATTTTTGGTGTTTTTTCTAGTAAATAACAATAAATGTTGCTTAATTTGTCTATGTCGGACTTTTTGTTGATGCAAGATGTGCTAGATTTTATGAAACACATTTCCAAAAAAAACACGTTTTGAATGGTTCTTTTCTTTTGCCAAAATACAGGAATCATCGAAATTGAATTCATGTTTTAGAGTTAGTGCATGTTCTGTCAATGCACATGCATTGATTTTTTTGGTTTTTATATCACTGCCATGTGATATCACCCTGCTGTGAAAGTTAAGAGATGATTCTCCTATGTAAATTTTAATCAGACGAGAAAGATTGCTAATTATTCCGTGACAAGAGTGTATGAAACTCCTCAAATCATAGTAGAAATCATTCTTGGTTAATAATTTAAAACTTTAGAATAAATAATCACTATTAATTAAATTATTTTATTCACATTTTTGCTGTATTGTGGTCAATCAGTTTTTACTTTATTCGAAATTAAAAAATGGAAATACGTCTCACATAATACTTATGACCGAGGTGATTTAGCTAGAAGCTAACGTCTAAAGGTGTGAGACTATCGATAGTGTTAATGCAATGTAATGTAAATTATAGGTTTCTATCGATTATTTCCCACCTCTACGAGTTTCATCTCCTTTTATTTCACAAGGTAATTATATATTATATATATATATATATATATATATATATATATATATATATATATATATATATATATATATATAAAATTAATTTAACTTTGTATCAACAGATGTAAATAAAAATAGAATTCTTTAAACAAAATGTGTAACAGAATTCTCATGATTTTATTTTGAAAATATTTTAACAAGTACTGAACATCTACGTGGAATGTACATTCGTTTCTGCTGCTGTCTCGGTACTAAGCACGATCGGTGCTTAGTTCTTTGTTTGCGCATTTCCGAGAGAAAGTTAAATTGGCTAAGTAGTACATTTTTGCATTTTTAGACTCCATCCGAGAGGCCCGTTAAGAAGCTTTGTTTGCTTGTAGATTAACGCAATACTTTTGTATTAATCAAATTATAATGCTTGTTTTTTAATAGGTTTATCGAAGATGGGGGTCAAAGAACAGATCACCATTTCCTTTACACGAGTCACATGCAGTCCCTAAAGTCCGGACAAAAATTATATGCATCGGTGGAGGAGATGCAACAACTGCACGAAATCAGGTGGATAGACGTGAAATATCTGAAAAAAGCAGTTGACATACTTTGTCGGTGTCAACAGACGCTTATGTATACTGACGTATTTGCATACTATTTGAAACGGAATAATCAATCTGTTATATTTAAATTTAACCAACAATATTTAGAACGAGAGACTAAACTTTTAAGCGAATACCTCAAGAGAGCCATATCACAAAAAGATCTGTTAATAGACGAGACACAGATTCAGGATAGTGCAAGATTCTGCGATCGTTTGAGAATAACTTTGGTAAATCACGTTTACGAGGGTTATGAAAAGGATTGGTGGCTTTTTAGCGAATAAATTGCAAAGTTTCAGTGTTCAGGAAGGTGTTTTATTTTAAATAAGTTCATTAGTTTTATATATTATTTATACTTTATTCTTTAAAAATAGGAAATAAATTTTTTTTAAATATATGTATTTATTATACCTGTTCGCGCTACCTTCAATTTTTTAGACCATCACCTGACACCATTCAGAAACCGCAAACAAAACTTGTTGACCAAGGTTGACCTTTGACCTTTCGTCGGTCACACACCTGCACAGGGGACATTCGAACATATATCGTCGGAGAAGTCAGACGCGAAAGGGCCACCGGCATTGTTATAATTTTAATACAGTTTCATTTTTATTGTTTCGTTATCGTAATATAGTTAATACTAATATTTGGACTTTTAATTATACACACAACAATACCCATCATTACTACTATCGAACTCTTGAGAAATCCTAATCCTAATTAGAATTGGGTGTAATATTGAAATGATTTGTGTAGCTACTTTAAATGCCACATAATGCAATTTATTACTTCAAGTCATATTCGTTGCAAGCAAAATGTATAATCTTAAAATAAATAAACCAAGAGTATCCGAAGACCCATCAGATTGTGTATACTAAACACACTTAATATATGGATATATACATACTGATCACTAATCAATGCATTACGGCTGCTAGGAACAGCGGACGTTTCATTTATACCGTCGATGGTGACGTGGAGGTAGAGGTGAACATTTCTGACGGCGAGATTTTGATTCTAGGGTGGATCGGACGATGTTTTCTTTATGAAAAGCCTCCATGTCGAAGGTAACCGCACGCCGTCATCTCTTTTACTGAGACAAATTGGCGTTTTTTCAACTCTATGATCTCTCGGACAATTCTTGGTTTATACAGGGTGGTGAATCGTCAAACGGGCCATAGGAAACTCAATGAAAAATTCTAAATTGTTCTAAATTCTAAAAATTCCTGCTTCCCTAACTATTTTACACCAAAAGTCATGGGAAACTATTTGTAGAGGACTCAAATATGTATCGAAAACAATTGTTAAAATTGTTCTACGACTTCACGTATTCCAAAATTTTGCTAAAATATTGCCACCCCTAAAAGTCAGGCCAGACGCCGTGAAAAGAAAGTGTATTACGTGTTGCGTTTTGTCATATTGATGTTTATAATTTATTTCATTTCATTTCAATCATATGACAATATTTAAATCAATTATATTATATTTATCTATGATTTAAATGGCCAAAATTTTGTGATTTATTATTTAAAAGAAAAATTAAGTTGATTAAAAATTGTACTCAGTTAAGGAGAAAAGAGCAATAATAAAAATGTTTTATTCATGTTTTATTATAACATTTGTTATAGTTTTATGTTTAGAAATTATCGTATATTATTATTAGGAATAAAGATCACAGTAACAGTATATTGGAATTCATTGAATTGTTGTATAACTCAACATGGAATTAAATTTTAGTGTATTAGAATATCTTACTTTAAATAAAGATCCGGTAGTGGCAGGAAAAGGTTCGCGCTATTGCCTGAATACAACATTATGCGATTTTTTGTCAACTGAGTACATTTCATTAAATTGATCGATTTGTAAACAATAAATTTATTGTTCACGAAGTAATATTGTTCAGTAGTAGTAGTATTTAGTAAAATTCATTGTTTATAATTTAATCATAAAATAAAAAAAATTGACAAATATGATAAAACACACACGTTATAATATATTCTTGTATTACGTGTGGCCTAACTTTTAGGGGTGGTCTGAAAAATATATTATATTTTTGCAAAATTTTGAAGTACATTTGATTCGTAGAACGGTTTTAACATTTGTTTTTAATTTAGAATTTAGTCCTCTACAAATTTTATGACTTTTGATCTAAAATAATTAGGGAAGCAGCAATTCACCAATTTAAAATTTCCCATTGAGTTTCCTATGGACCGTTTGACGATTCACCACCCGGTAGAAGCGGATGGGGGCTATGGTTCACGAGTTTTCAAAATCAATTTTGTGACCTTATAAAGATGGTGTTAATCTATAGATGAAAATGAATCGGAATTGCGAACAGAAATGGAATGTTCATTAAAATAATTTCATAAACTCATTGTTGTTAATTTGGAATACTGTCTTTGATTGGTCGGACAAGAGATGAAAGTTTTTGTTGGTGAGTAAATATTGTCTTTATTCCTATTGATTTAAGAAGATTGTCACTGACACCTGTGATTTATGAAAGAAAGACTTCCTTATGATGATGGTCTGAATCTTTGGGTTGTGATTCAATGGGAGATTGACGTCTGTGGATGATGATTCTGTGGCTCCTATTAATGTGATTTTCGCGGTAACCGTTTTGAATGAGGGCTTGTTTTAAACTAGAAAGCTCAACGGGTCTATTTGCAACATCGCAAACGCGTATTGAACTGGAGACAACTTATGTGATTCGTTTTCCTTTTGATAACATCGATAAACGGTAGGCACAGATCGATAAACGGTGAAGAATATAGGTATAGTCAACATATCGTAGCCAACATGTGGATTTGAGCATTGATGTGGACAGTGCTCGGGTCTGAGTGTTGGATATGGAATGGTTAATCAGAGATAAGTGGTCTTGCTGGATACTGTATTTAGTTTTTAGAATGTTTAGAGTTTTGTCTATAGGAATGTTTGACTGTGAGATAGGATATTGTTTGAGAGTTGTTCTGGTCGACATTGTGGCCACATGATCCAAGTTCTTGGTAAATAGACGACAAAGGTTTGCCTTCCATCGAAATTTAGACCGTCAAAGTCTAAAATTTGCAACCAACAATACACTAGCTCGATTTTTTTGTCGACGATAGCTAGACGAAATAAACTTTTTGGTTTTTTGAAATGATTTAATAGGGTTTCTTTAGGATTGCCTTCATTTTATAAATTATTGATCATTGTGAGAAAAACTCAAAATTTACAAAAGTTAACATATATTTACAACTTTTTAAGATTAGATTTAGTCATTCTTTGACTTCTTTTTTTCGGGCTCTTCATCTCCATCATCAGTATAAGTCTGTTTCGGTTGTGTGTTTTTGTAAGCAGGAGTAATCCAGTACGGATTTTCCTCGGCCTCTTTCGCATACTTTAAAATTGCTTCCCTGGGATCTTGATCATCTTCTACCCTTTTGCTCAATCCCAAATTCCTTATGACATAACTGCTGAGCGTACCTCCACTAGAAGCCACTCTACCACCTTGACCAGACGTGATAGGTAGATCAGGTCTCTTGGATTTCACTGGATCTAACCTGTAAAATAAATTAAAAACATTATTATTAGTATATATTGTTTTGGAGAATGCAGTATTGTATAGTATTGTATAAAAGAAAACTTTGGTACAGTCCGTTTGCTTAACTTATTTTTGATTAAATTTTTGGGCTTTGACGGTATACAAGGCAACTATTGAACACGGTGATTAATTTAATCTTGCCCAAGTACTTTCGACCAATAGATCATCTTCAGGGGCATCTGAAATAAGCCAAGAAACGTTTTTTATATAAAAGGAAAATTAATTCACTTGGATAAAAAACTAAAAGTTTATGGTTGAAAAAATTTTATATGTGATAAACGTTTATAGACTTACTTCGTCAGTTGTGGCCTATCCGACATGAGTAGAATGTTATAAATGTAAATATGGACATAACAATACAATGTATTTCGCTCTGATGATTCCTGCTAGGTTGAAATACGTATAAAGCGATTATACAGGCACTACACGTGAAATCAAATCTTACCTGTCTTTTTTTATTAATGAGGTTAACCCTGTATTAAATAAATAAAAAAAAACTTAAAATAATTTCAACCAACCTATCTTTCTCCATTTGCTTGCGGCTTGTCTTTCTTCTTTCTTGCCTAAACAACGGCAAGGCGTGAGGCGTGATGATTTGTTGAGAACTAACAATTTCCGAATGTTGAGCTTTGCGATGATGTTTTATGACACATAAAGTAGCCCCCCTCAAGCTTTTTCTTTCGTCGTAATAACATTTTATAAGACCGTTGCCGGTTCCGACGAAAATTTGGTTAAGCTTAGGGTGCCAGGAAAGTTTTATTGTATGTGAATCTGTAATTTGCATCCTTCTGATGAGGTTGAACGTTTTAGTATCGTAGAAAAGTACGACGCCGTTTTTCTGACCTAAAAAAATTAAATATACACCTGTCTAGAAAAAATTATTTGATTTCATAGTTTTCAAGTTTTAGTAGTCTTTTATATGAATATATATATATATATATATATATATATATATATATATATATATATATATATATATATATATATATATTGTAAATACTTTTTTCTTTTTGGGTGTGCCCAAGTCAATAAAAAATAGAGCTTTGCTAAGGCGTACTATTTATCCTGAATCCGAGCTTTCGATGCTTGTTTGCCACCTTTATCAAGGTCTACAATGAAAATTACTGTGTTAGGTCCGCTTGCCATTATGCTAATTTCAGTGCTAAAAATATTAGTTGCGCGAGTCTATTTAGTATGAAAAATGTATGTTGGTGTTTGCAACTATCTTGATTTTAATTAGCCTGTAGGCATGCGCTCTACCAATTTTGTATTGTCAGTCTAACCTATCTGAAGTTTGTTTTATAGTTTTATGATTAGATTAAACAAAACAAACAGGAGTTTGTACAATTCCGCCTTTATTTCTTCCAAAGCTTTTACTCTCCCATTCCTATTTTTGTATAATGGATGTTTTGGCACATATAAACAAGGATTTGCTTTATATAGTTCGATTAAATTTTCTATTTGCTTTTGACTCCACATATTTAAAAACAAAACATAAACATACGTAACATAACCTCAGTTTTAGTTAATATTGGATCATTTTTAGTACAAGAAATTAGAACAGGTTCTAATTTTTAGTACTGAATCGGCGCGCGCACCTAATTTGTAGATACAATATTTTTAGTGCTAAATTCAGTACTGAATTTAGCATAATGGCAAGCAGACCTTATAAACTTGACTGATGCAATATAAAAGTTATAAAAACTTACCAGAAAGTAAGATTCGTAGCATATAAACACAACGTTAAATAACATAATATGACATGAATTGTTGAAGGCATTAAAACTGTTAAAATTTAAAAATAACTTA